AAAGTAAAGTCAATCAACAAATAACACAGATGCTACAAAAGTTGAAAAGAAATGATTGGTCCTTCAGTGCATCCTTTGTGGTGGTGCAAAAAGATTGATTCGACAGAAGGACACTCATGCATCCATATAATTTTTACATAGGATCATCCTCAAACCACTGCTGTCCATTCGTAGGCCCTGTCTGGGCCACCACACTACAACACAAAAATCATGAGTCCTTCAATGGATGGTTTTACAATGGAGCAAAAACATGGATCCTCATGGCTTTATATTACTTATATGTCAGATCATCATCCCCAAACCACTGTGCAATCATAGGTCCCTTAAAGAAGATCCAAGAGGATTCTTGCCATGGATCTAATTTTTCTTCCCACTCTAGTAGTAAAGGGAACTATAAGATCTATAGTTCCAGTGGCTCATTCTTTGAGTATGAAGGTGACCATAAGTGCTGCATAAAGAACATGTTGGCCCACATTAGTCTTTGCCCAAGGACCCAGGTTAATGGGCAATGGTACCAGAGTCATCCAGCAATTGGAGATTTTGATGGTTGACAGGGATGGGATGATAGTTTGGGGAGCATCCCAATTGAAATTTGTGTGTTCTACGAGGATCTGGGCCACAGATCTTTTTCTTTTTCTTTGCATCAGGAAGATGCCATGCAGTGAGGGCCTGTGCTTTTTATGCTCCACTCTATGAGAACAGATGGATCCACAATTTAGCTATAGTTACATGGGAACACCATACAGCAATCATATGGATCAATAAAGACCTGTGCTTTGGATTCATGTATCTGGTTCTGTAAGAATGAGAACCTCGAATCCAGGTGTTTTCATAATGACATCATGCATTGAGAGAGCCATGATTTCTGGGTTTTTTTGGCTGTGGACAGAGATGGGAGCCCCTAACTGGATGGTAGTTGAGTAGATATACCATGTAAGATTAATGTAGGTCTTTGATCATATTTTCCATGTTCTTGTACCATGACTCACTTGTAGTTAGGGAGCTGTGTCTTTGTCTTTATTGTTGTTTTAATCATTGTGCATACATTGAAGAGATGTGCAAGCTGTGTCAGTTTGAGAAGGATCCCATGTAAACATCATATGGATCCATGGAAATCCTTACCTCTCATATATTGTTGGGGCAATGTCATGCAGTGAGGAAACCAACTTTATGGGTTAGTCTAGGGCAGTGATGGTGAACCTTTTTGAGCCCAAGTGCCCAAACTGCAACGCAGAATCAACTTAATTTCAAAGTGCCAATACTGCATTTAAAACCTGAATGCTGAGGTTTTAGTTTAGAAAAAACAACTGCTCCTGCACTGCAAAGGTTAAATACTTGGGTTCCCCCCCTTTTTTTCCCTATGGGCGGTACAGTGGCTTTACGATTGCCCTGTATCACAGCGAAACCGCTTAACAACAATTGCAATCGCAAAACGATGGTCTGAATGGGGAAATTTCGCCTTGCGATGATCTGTTCCCTGCTTCGGAAACCGATTCTTCACAAAATGACATTTTTTGAACAGCTGATCGGTGGTTTCAAAATGGCCGCCGGGTGATTAAAATGGCTCCCCGCTGTGTTTAGGGACGGATTCCTCGCTATCCAGGCAGCGAAAATGGCCATCGTATGGAGGATCTTCGCTGGACTGTGAGTTTTTAT